CGCGGCCGCCGGGCCCTCCGCGCCGACCGCCTCTCCGCACACCTGGAGGCGGCCCCGCCCCTGGGAGCACAGGTGCGCGCGGGCGGGCGGCGGCGGCGGTTCCCCCTCCGCCTCTGCCTCCTCGGGTGGTCGGGCTGCGGGGGCTGGCGGGGTGATCCCTGCTCTGCAGAGGAACTGAGTGCCCCAGGTAACCGCCCTCGGCTGCAGCCCCGCGCCCGGGCTTCTCCCCGCCTCCCGGGCCCTGCGCGGCGCGGCTCCAGCGCGCCCGGCTCGCTCTCCGCGCCGCTCGCTGCCCCACCCCCACGCGTGTCTGCGGGCGGGTACCGAGAAGTGAGAGCCGAGGCCTTGCCATCCGCCGCTCAGAGAAATGGATGGGGCTGGCGGAACTGTTGACGCGCGCCTCGGCGCTGCACGTGTAGTTCGTTTGTGCCTCAGCTGTCTCCCGTTTGGGGTGGGGGAGGTTGCGGGCGGCTCTCCTGCCTGATGGGGAGAGCGGTGTACCTGGAGGGTGACTGATACCTTTCATTTAGCTTTGTGCTGGCTCTTGGAGAAGGGTGTCTGCTTTGTTACTTCACAGGATTCAATTTATTTGCCTTTGTTCCGATCTGCTTGTTCCTATGGCCGTTTTAGAAGGTTTGGGAACAGTGTCTTTGAAGCAAAAAGCCCAGCGTGAATGAAGTTGGCAGTTGGAGGGCGCCTGGGAAGAGTGGGGACCAGAGAGAAAACTTAGAAGGCTGTCCAGGGGCCCTCCTGCGAGGGGTGGCTGCCCTGGTCGGCGGCTTGTCTGTGTCTCTTGTCTCTGCCTGTCTCTTTCTGTGGGGGGGGGGGGGAGGGAGAGAGAGAGATTGGAAAATAGTAGTATAATAAAGCTGGCCTGGGCTATGTCACCTGTAGCTGCTTCTATGCCAAAATCTGGAAGGATAGTTCTTCAAAGAACTTACACTTCCATGAAACACTTACGAAATTCACAAGCATAGGTGTTACTTTCCAATTCTAGGTTTAGAGCCTTGTCTCCTAAGACCCTGGTAGGAAATCGCATTCTGATTCAGTTCAGTCCAGCCAGCATTCTCAAGGCACCTGTTAAGGACAATTGTCTGGGCTAAGTGTTGTGAGGGCAAATCTGTGGCATGTCCCCTCAAGGACAGACAATCTAGTGACAGAAGAGAAATCTGTATCTCTCTACAATTCAGAACACAAGAGCTATAGCAAATATGAGAAAAGTACTATGCAAGCAGCAAAAGGGTTAATTATAATAGAGGAAATTTAACTGATGTTTAAAATGACAGGGAGGGGAGAATAGGTGGAACACGGTAATCTCAGAGCAGCAGAGCTATCCTGTATGACACTGCAATCGTCCCTGTAGGACAGAAGTGGTGAATCTATGCACATGTGCCACCGTGGGCTGTTTGTATCATTGAAAGCTCTAAAAGGTCCACCATCTCTGCTGTGGGACATTTGCATTTGTCAGAACCTATAAAACTGCACAACACGGAGATGAACCCAAATGCAACCTATAGGGTTTAAGAGTAACACATCCGTATTGTTTCATCAGTGATAACAAATATATCAGACTTACAGAGGTAATAATAGGAAAAACTGTTGACCGAAGAGGTACATGAGAACTCAACTATTGTACAATTTCCCTGTAAACCTAGAACCGCTCTAAACAGTTTATTTAAAACAGGCCTAATTTTATAGGGCATGAATGGGGTAAAAGGAATTAGCTTTGGGTAAGAATGAAGGCACAAGGAGCTGGCAGGCAAGGTGGGATATGTTTAAAGATAAGCATGGTGCAGGGTGGGGGAGGGGAAGTCGCCATGGGCTAGGGAGGAAGGGGGTTGGGAGGCCACCTCAAATCCTGTTACAGAGGCTGGCTGGCTTGTAAAGAAGGCCAATCCGCGTCTTCTCTGCAGTGGCAGCCAGGGAAGGTGCTTTTGTTGATTAGAAGAAGTAGCATGATTAAATGATGACCTGTGCGTCTGCGTTCTACGCTAAATCCTAATGCGTTTGTAGAATTCAGGTTTTTGATGTTTTTCATCTTTGCAATGAGTTCCACCTTTGCAGTGTCTCTAGCAAGTGTTTTTCATCCTTGTTTTGTTTTGAGGGCCCTGATTCTACACAGCTCTGGAGGCTTTGGCCTGCGTGAAATATTCGTAGTGCCATAATCGAGTTGCTCAGTGAATACGTAGTAGGCTAATATGCTTAAGGCCTCCTAAATGACAGGTTCTACTCTTAAGAACGTTACAGATACTAATTCAGTTCTCATAATAAGCCTGTGACAGAGGTGCTGCTAATTCCCCTGCTTTACAGATGACAGACCCAAGATGCCAGGAAGTTAAGTAACTTTCCCCAAACCACACACAGCGAGTGACAGACACACTAAAACCTAAGACAGGGCTAAGACAAAAGACTCCAGCTCTGCATCAGTCACATGTGCCAAGACCCAATTGTGTCACTAACACTTTATTGGATGGGGTCTTACTGCCCGTGCCCTTGTAATAGAAAACACTCCCACTTAAAGGCAGAAAGCTGGTGTTCCAGATGTGGTCACATCTGGACCATGTAGTACATAGCAAAAGACCCTGCTGACCCCTCGTCCAGAGCTTCACCCCTTTGCGCCCCTGGGTCATGAATTAGATGCTGCTGTCCTCTCACCAATTATTCATCCTGGGTTCAGAAACCACCGTGTCACTTCCCTACCAAAGATCCCTGCCCCTTGTTTCCTTCCACAGCGGGCCTGAACTCCTCCGACCAGCTCTCAGCCTCATCCTCACACCATTCACCTTCACTGTGGTCAGCAGTACCTCATTAGGCGGTGAACATGCTGTGCTCATTGCTGCCTCAGCCTGGGCTCGCGTTTATTCACTGACCTGAAATCCCTGCCTTGATGACCTCCAACTAAACTCTCCCTATTTAACAAGCCTCTGTCAAGTCCCTCCCGCCTTCCAGAAGACTTCTGTGGTTTCTCTAACCACCTAAATACATTTGTGCCCCCATACCCACCCCTTCTCCCCTAAAGACTTATAGCAGCTCGATCTTTGGTGCTGTATTTTCTTGTGTTTTGTTTGGTTGCTTCTTGGCTATAAATCGTGTCTCTCCAAGCCCGGTGCAGGTTCTTAAGAATCACCTTCTCAGTCTGTGGTGCTCTGAAAACCAGCTCGGTGCAGTCAGCCTGAAGTGGCATTGAAAGCACTAATCTAGATTCAAGCAAACATCATCATCCATTTCATTAAATTGTTCATTTTAATGAAAAAGGAGTCGCCTCCTTAGCCCCCTCCTCCAACTGCCAAGTGGTGTGCCTGCAGCAGGCACTAAATATTCTGATTAATCTGCATGAGATCGTAAAAGCATACAGATACCACTAGAAATTGTCAGCTAATATTTACCTAAATCCCATAAAGTTTATGGCAGTACACTTGGCCCTTAGATGGCAAAAATGTAAAACAGAAAATTGGGTCCTTCACACACCAGGAATTCTAATTAAGGAAAACAAACAGATCCTGAAGGCTACATGCAGAATATGTCCTTAAACACACTGTGAAGTTGGGTTTCAATGAGTCCACTGACAGGCCCTGGTGCCAGGAAGACAGCCCTGACCCACTAACTACCAGAACAGGCAGCAGAATGGGTAGAAACATATGTTCTAAATAGAAACATGACATAGACAAAGTCAAGAGCTTTGTATAGACAGTGTGTAGACAGCTATGCCCCTTAGGAGACAGTAGTAGGCCTAGAGTGGGTTAGGGCAATGCCCTTAATGTCTGGTATGGGTGTTATCCTACAGTTCACTCCAATGTTTCGATCCCAGAACGCTTTAGGACTCTGATAATTAAGGTATGCTTAATGACTGTGTAGGTTTTTATCTATTGGTATTTAAAATTCAAGCTAAGAACATTGAAGACAATCATTTATGAGTCACTTGAACATAGTAATAAGATGACCACATGTCAATATACTTTTTAAAAACTGAGAAGTAATTATTCACAACAAAATAGAATAGCAGCATTTTACATTTTTTCAAATATTGTCTGGCCTAAAAGACAGGTAGATCCTCATATTCTCTTCTGCATTCAATCCTTAGTGAAAGAATGTTTGGATTTAAGCATATGATGAATATCCAGCCCTCACGCAAATGTGTAATTGGAAAAGAGGGGACTTTTTTAATAGCCTTTTCAGATAACTGTTATTATTCTTTGCTATGACACCAACACCTGACTTTTGAAGGTTTTTCAAAGTGTGACATTTGAAATCCAGTGAAAGTTTGTACATTCTATTACATTAAAATCTATCAGCCTGTATTGCAGTTTGAATGGATATGTTATCCATGCAGGATTTAATATCATGCCTTGGTCATTTGGAAAATATAGGTTCCCTGAGCCACACAGTTTTCTAAATGTTGACATATCGCATTATACAATATCCAAACCACATTCATTTTTATCACCACCAATTTCATC